TAGAAACTCGAGTTATTTACCGTAAATTCTGGAAAATTCTATGATGTTATGTTACTAAAAATAGTCGTGTTGTAAATCTGTAGAATCTTCTAGAAAGATTGTAAGGAACTATATAAGAAGGCGCAGTAGGTTGTTGCGTTTAGAGGAAAAAGAAGAAAAAGAAGAGAAAAAGATAAAGGAAACAAAGGAGTTAGTGAAAACAATTCATTTTAAGGTTTATCACGAAACCAATTTCCACTAGCCAGTTTGGCTAGTAAACAAACTAAAAGTTGTCATAACATCTAAGATGTCACTAGCCACTTGTCTGGTAAGTTGAAAAGTTAGTGTCAAGCCCTGGAATATTGTAACATTTTCTTATCTTCTAACATATTGAATCACTTAGAGGTACACAGAGCTTACACTAATTGATGCACAGATTGGCACTTGGTGCGAATCTAAATTTAAAGAAAACAAATTGACACTTAATTTCTTCCATTCAGTGTCTATCGTAGAAATATAAGCAGTAAACTTCTGTACCATTTTATTTTGTGAGATTTTTGTATTCAATTTTGCTCACTTTGTTTTTCTTACTTAATTGTGCCTCCTGAGGACTCTTTACAATCTGCAACACTATAAACCAACCAAATTTTCATGCTGAACATCAGCTCAAATAGAGCTGGTCACATCTAATATTACTTTTACACCTGATGAGTAGGCAGTTGGCTGTTATTAGCCGTGAGGCTCACAGTTCAACCTTTTTTTTGCAACTGGCAGATCAAGTGCAAGGTGTCTAACACAGCCCCAGACCTGATAACCGATGAGAAACCCCAGGGTACCCAATATTCATCAAGAAGTGGCTTTTTACTTTTAGCAGGAATGGCATCTGTTGCACTGGGTGCCTTTTTGATGCACAAGGCATGGCACAGGACATGAAGTTCAGTGCGGTTACCACTTAACATGTTGGTGTATTGTACACGCTACTGTTATCTTTCATTGCAATGCTTCTGTTTGATAAGTGGCTGGTTCCACTTTAACTTTCTTGTATGCAGAGATTCACACAGTTCATCAGTAGAATGCATGCTATGTGATGTCTTCTTTTGTTGTCCCTTTATGACTAACATCGGTATCAGTATTCTCTATACGTCTCCTTTGGCACAGACAAGGAGAATTCATTTAACAATCATTAAGCATTGGGTAAATTGGTGATCATTTCCTTTAATCTTATGATCTTTAGTGAATGATTCAGCAGCATTACTGTAAGGAGATATTAAATGCTGATCACACTAAGGGTTTAGAGAGTTAAAGGAGGAGTATGCTCTATATCATTGAATTTTTAACTCTTACTATAAAAAACCACATTGAAAAAGTTGCTTCATGTTTTGAGATTACCAAACAGCTAGTAAGAATTATCTCCACTCCTTTTCACATTAATTTTCCCATTGTAGTATTAATTATTTTGCTTACAAGGGAGTTTAATTATTTTGATTCTTTACTGTTCAGTGTTAGAGAAAGACCATTCCAGTATTGCAATGATAAATAAATGCAGGTTCTGTCATGTACAATAAGAATTTGATGAAATTCACTCTATTTCGCACCTTTAAGATTATTTTCTCATCCTCATCCTAAAACATTCCTTGTTATTGTAAAGATGCTTTTATATTTGTATATATTCCTGTTCTTTGAATTCTGTTTGAACTATTGTTGTTTAATTATTAAAATGAGGAGGGTTGTTTATTAAGATGGTACAGGCAAAAGTGAGTAATAAATGACAAGATCATTCTTTTGTATTATAAATCTATAAAAAGTTGGATGAATAAAATCATTTTTCATCTGTAGCTAGTTGTCTAATTTTTAAACTTATATTTATGTAATAAAATCAGAATCATATCAAGATTCAGAATCATTTTATCTGTTACTTATGAGAATAAAATTCGCTATCATAATAGGATTCAGAATCATTTTGAGAATGCAATTCAGGAAAGCATCCTGGTTAAAGTATTGTTTTGAAGTGCAATTTAGGAAATCAATAAAGTACACGAAAATGCCTTTTGAGAAGGGAGATTGAGTAAGTACCATAGCCCAGAAGCTGTTAACAAGAAAATGGAGGTGGAATTAAAAATATCAATTTTATTTCTTGTTGACTTAACTCTGCAAAATACAAAGGCACTGAGGCTGGCTCTGGCATATTTTTGAACATGATACCTACAAAATTAGATGTTGAGCAATTGTTTTCAGCATAATCTTTTTTAAAAATAATATACTTCATCACATTCATTTAAGTATAGTTTAGACCTAATTATATACAATTGGATGAACAATTTGTTAGGAAATAAGTAAAAGTTTCAAAATCAATTTTTTAAAATAAATTTCTAACATTTTGACCACGAATTTAAATAGTGCTCACTTGCTTGTTTCACCAAAGGGTTGAGTGCAAATTTGGAGAGGACTTATCTTAGGATGTGAATGATTATTTCAGAAAATACAGTGCGATGGGTGGTTGTGGCTATTCCATAAGTGACACTCTCTTTGATTTACTTCCTATCATGCTGTACTTCAGTTGCATCACACCCGTCACCAAACCTTCCTTCCTCAGCCACACTGGTTCACCAGCGATAAACGTGGCATGCACATTGAGGTCTTCATCTAGAAAGACTAAGTCTGCATCAGATTCATAGTTCAAGGTGCCTTTTTTATGTTTGATCCCCAGTACCTGGGCGGGGTGGAGAGTAGCACCCTCAAGTGCTTCTACAGTGCTGCAGCCTGAAACATTACAAAAATGTTTTAACAAGTTCACTCCCAAACTCTAAAATTATATACCCCTAAATTCTCCCCATCATCTGCTTTTCATCAGTCGTAATCTGTGCTCTGAGAATTTGGAGTAACCTCAAATAATTTTGCATCCGTAAATTTTGTTTTCCTTCTCATCACCTCTTTGCTCGAAAATGCATGGATATTGTTAAATTCCTTTTTGTCACTCCTTGGGGTTTGATGGCTAAGAAATGATACTTAAGCAAGCAAATGATTAGAATAGCAGAACTTATGAATTTGTGTAACATGTGAAAACAGAAGACAACAAGTGCTCACCTGACATTTTCCGGAATCTCTGAATGCAAACATCCATCGAGGCAATGCTAAGATAAACACATTTCATGTTATTATGTTCAGATAATGAACAACAGACAGGAAAAGGTCTTCAGATGTCATTTCCACCCCTCAAAAGCTTTTTTCATCATGATTGTAAACAACAGTGGTTGTGGGAAGAACTGGTTACTGTGACAGATGGGGGTGGGGAAGGGTGACATGGAGGAGCTGAAGGGAGCAGACAAAAATGCACAAATAAGCAGGAATCAGTGTGAAAAGGAGATGGGGCAGTTCAAACTTTCTCTCTCATGTATCTGTACTCCCAAAATGAAGTGTCCAGTGATCATACCTTCCTGCAAGTGTGTTAGTTCCTTTCAAGGTAGCTTTTTCATGGTTTATCTCCACTTGCATTGGGCCGAGCTTGTGTAGTCCTGGAGAAAGTCCAAGGGCAGCAATAGCATCAGTGACTAAGACAAGCCCTGTTTGGCAAACAAAAGAATGACAAAATGCATGGGCTGACTCACTTGACCGTAAGAGTCTCAGTGTCTCCACACTCTTCTTTTTACATTTCCTGTGGTACTGACAAGGAGAATTGGTTTATCAATGAAAGCTTCCTTGGTTGGTGATCATTTTCTTAATTCTCATGGTCTTAATGAATGATACAACAGTGTTATGGTGAGGAGAAAATAGACTTTTGTCTCTCTTAGGGTTTAAAGAGTTACCATAAAAGCCTGTGGATAAGCCGCACCTGCAGATAAGCCACACCTGCAGATAAGCCACACCTGCAGATAAGCCACACCTGCACAGAGTCAGACAAATACTGCGACCAAAACAAAGCAAATGTATGAGCGGGAGCCACGGTTGTGATCCTTAAAGCGAAGATTTTGGTCAATTCTTCGGATTATCGTTCTAGAAAAAAGAGAAATGGTAGGCACCAGACACTGCTGTTGGGGTGAGTGCAAAACAGACTCAAGATATCCAGAAAAGTGGCTGGAATNGATAAGCCGCACCTGCAGATAAGCCACACCTGCAGATAAGCCACACCTGCAGATAAGCCACACCTGCAGATAAGCCACACCTGCAGATAAGCCGCACCTGCAGATAAGCCGCACCTGCAGGTAAGCCGCACCTGCAGATAAGCCGCACCTGCAGATAAGCCACACCTGCAGATAAGCCACACCTGCAGATAAGCCGTACCTGCAGATAAGCCATACCTGCTCCCAAATTTAGCAGCTCAAATTTTGGAAAAAAATTTTTTTGCTAGTAATCAAGAGAAATCCAAAGTCGAGTCTTGAGAAGTCTACTTCATCCACTGTTCATCGAATGTAAACTCGTCATTAACATTGCAACGGAAAATACTTCAGTGTTACCCACAATTTTAACACTTTAATGTAATGAACATAATTTCTACCAACTTTGACATATGACTGGTCTTTTTCTGGTATTTGTTGACTGGAATTTCTTCATTTAACACAGTTTTTCCATATATTTTTGCATTACAAGAAAGTGAGCAGAACATTTGAAGCTTAGTAACCAGGCATTTGATCAGACATGAAAATGAACATTCACGATACCTTTTTCAAATGTTCCCGCAGATAAGCCACACCCCCAATTTCTAGCGATGATTTTCGGAAAAAAAGCGTAGCTTATCTGTGGGCTTTTATGGTAATTAAAGTTCACAAACTGTTAGGATGCAAAAGGAAATGGTATGGAGGGGTGGGTAGGGGGCTAACAAAATTGCACTTGTCGGAATTATAAAGAATTCTAACAATGACACAAGTGATTAAGGCTGTACAGTGGAAACTGGGAGACTGGCAATGAATTGATTTACAAGCATCATACCATTAGGATGTGATCTGTGAGCTATTCTTGTGGCTGTTGGATGTGTGTGAATTCCATCAGCTATCAGTCCATAAAATATGGGTTTAGGGATATCATAACTTGTGAGAAGTCCAACAATTCCAGGATCTCTGTGATGGAACTAAAACCACAAATTATAGTCCCAGGGTATTGCACGAGGTATGAAAATGACGAACAAATGACAGGCCTAATTTGCATTGTAATAAAATCATGGTTTTTTTGTTCCGTTATCAAATTAAGGTACTCGAGGGGTTACTCTTTTAATATAAAAAAATTTGCTAAAAATTCACCTTGATTTCCAAAGACAGAAGGTCCAATCCCTCCCCTCTCCTGAGAAATTTTAGGCAATCAGTAATGGGCTTTTCATTTATGGCTTGAGCAGTCTTTTGACCTTCTGACCTGCTAACACAACACTTACCGGCAACATGGCATTGAAAAGGTGAGTGATAAAGGAAGCACCTTTGTTTGCTGCTTTCTCTGCAATGGACAAGTTTGCTGCAGAGTGGCCTGCAAGAATGAGAAACAACATCTGTTTTCTGCTCTTAAACCTACACTAGGACAAGTGGTCCACACTACTGCAGCTTAATGTCCTTGTTTCTATACATTGCAAGCTGCACCCCAGCATTTGGTCACATTTACACCTCAGCATTTGGTCACATTTACACTCAAGCATTTGGTCACATTTACACCCCAGCATTTGGTCACATTTACACTCAACCATTTGGTCACATTTTCACCCCAGCACTTGGTCACATTTACACCCCAGCATTTGGTCACATTTATACCCCAGCATTTGGTCACATTTTCACCCCAGCATTTGGCCACACTTTCACCCCAGCATTTGGTCACATTTTCACCCCAGCATTTGGTCACATTCATTACCGTGTAAAGTGAAGCATTGTGGGTGTTGAATGTCCTACTCAAGAACATAACTCAATGACCTGTTAAGGACTCAAACCTGGCCCCCAGTCAGCAACTGTTAGGTGACTGCCTTTCCCACATTTCATGTAATGACCTCTAATAATTGGACAAAGTACTGACAGTGGATTCCAGGTCAGTATGATGACTTTTGGATAATATAAATTGGTTGAAAAACCGGGTTGAACAAAATTTGCAAGATTGTTCTTTCTTTCTTTCTTGGGCAATGAAATAAATAGTACCTGTCAGGATAGTGATGTGCCCCTGTTAATGAGGTCAGGTCATCTACGATTGATTGTCTAGCCTAAAGTATTACAAAGTTGAATTTAATTTTCCATACATACTGTATGTAAAGTTTTGAAAATTGAATAAGAAAGAAGGTAAGTTTTGAGCTCCTTAAGGAAATAGAGAAGGATGTTTTCATCTAGTCACCAGCATGGGACAAAGAAAAAATATTGAGGATTCTGCCACAAAGCATCAGAACACCGAAACCAAAGGTCTGAGGTTCCATTCCTCATGGGGACTCAGAACTTTTTTTTTGTTTCGCAGTCATGGCAAGATGAAAACATCTTTCTCTACTACATAAAGTTGTTGCAAAATTTACCTATTGATACCACAATGTTGCTCTTTACTAACTGTTGAATGGACTCCATACTGTCCCCAGCCAGTTCAGGAGCTATTGTTATGATGCTCACATGATCTAATGAACCATAAAAATCCTCAATTTCTTGGGCTCCTTTGGTGCTGATCTGCCTCATCAGGTGTTCTTTGTGAGCTCCTTTCATTTCAGGATTGATGAACGGACCTTCCAAATGGGCACCTTCAATTATGATGTGAGGGTTAGCTTTAAAATCATCACAGTTACACAATGATTTACATCTCATGGTTTGCCATCATCCTTACCATCATCAACATAAAAAACAACATCATCGTCATTATCATCATTAACATGGCTTTGGTTAATGTTATTGTCACCAAAATGATCCCTGGATCTTCATCATGGTCTAGTTGTCGCTAAGTTCCCACTGTCTAGTTGTCCTCATCATGATCTTAATAATCACCATCCTTGTCATCATATTCAATATTGTTATCATTACAAGGTAATTATTACCTAATATTTCTGCACCATGAGCTCCACCTGGGGTTCTTTTTATCTTCTTCAAAATCTGGGAGAAAAGGGAAGTTTAACATGACCTTTCAGCACTTTACTAACCCTTCAACATCCAGAAGTGATTAACATTTAACTTCTCCACTTAAATACCCATACACTATCCAGCAATCAGGTAGTGATAGGGCTCGACACTAATGGTAGCCCACTAGCCACAGACTAGTAGAAATTCAGTTTTGGCTAGTGGTTTTCAATTTCCACCGCCCAGTTTGGCTAGTAAACAGACTGAAATTGTTATAACATCTAAAAACATCTAAGATGAAACTAGCCACTTGGCTACTAAGTTGAAAAGTTAGTGTCCAGCCTTGAGTGAGAATATTCAAACTTATAAGGTTGAAGTTGCTACCTTGATCTAACACCACATTTTCATAAATAATTTACAAGAAAATATGTGGCAGCCAGAGGAGAGAAGTAACAATCAGATCTTGGGAGTTAAAGGGGTAACTTCCCATATCAGTAGCTAGGTTTTCCTAGGGAAGAAAGCAATAGTGTAAGAATTATATTTTTTGAGAGTATTTGAGAGAGGAGATACTGTTGCCTAAGGGTTGGCCAGTTGCATTTCAGGGTTACTAGATTATTCAAAAGGTGGAAAAGGCCATTTAGCAGATATATTGCTACCCAGTGGTTGGTACAGTGCATTTCCTTAATGCTTATCCACTGGATAGTGATTCACCCATTGGATAGCATTATTCACCCTTTGAACTACTGGGCCTGAAAGAAAATACTGTGTGCGAGTCCTACTCAGACCATCGTGTTGTGTTCTTGGGCAATACAGCCTACTCTCAGAATGCCTCTCTCTCTCATTCCTCCCAGAATCATTGAAAAGGTGGTGAAAATGTGTCAAGGAAACTTGACAAAATGATGGTGGGGGAGGGGGGGGAGGGGGGAAGGGGAAGTCTGCAGTGCACTAGAGCCACATCCAATGGGAGTTAAAACACTTCTTATTCCTCTATCCTACAGAAACAATGATAAGCTGTAACAGGAAAGGCCTTCATGCTTGTACCTTGAATTATCATAGTAGGATATGATTTACCTCGTTGTAACTTGCTTGTGATGATGTGACAATTGTAGGACAGTAGGATGTCACACCATGTTGTAAGAGACCCTTGGAAACAGTCCTCAAACCTTCCTCTAACTTTTCAGGATCAGAAGAGAAATCAACTCCAAATCCACCTTGAATTTAACAAATATTAAAGAAAGTACAGGGTTTCATTGTCTCCCACATATACGTAGACAAACATAAGTGGAGGCTATACTCCCATCAAACTGTGAGAGAATCATAGGCTTCTCAAAGAGTCTTAGTCTACCTCCATCTGAGAAGCCTTACAATGACGTTGTGGAGTCTTAAGTACCAGCATAGCCTCCACAGTACAAACACAAATCCAACCCCCTTAAAACATGTGAAAGTGATATGTCTCCAAACACAAACCCCTGCCCCACCCCCTCCCCCTAGCTAAAGAGACTGCAGTCACCTACACCCAAAACAGTTTCAAACCCATGTTGAGAATATGAACACTTGAACACTTACCATTTATTTGGAGGTCAATAAATCCTGGGCTTATGATTAAATTGTTACAATCAATTTGAACATCGGCTCGAACTTGCTCTCCCCAGAATACATTTCGTGGATCAATGATCTTCCCATCTGTCACCCACAGGTCCTCTTCGATCAATTTACTGTCTCTCAATAAACGGCAGTTTTTGAACTGGCACAACTTTGGTTCACCTTCATGCCGCCTTTTCATACTGTGTAAAAAAGGGAGCGTGTTAAGAAATTCTCTCCACGACGAAGCTAAATAACTCATTTCGGATCGAAAGCTCCATTACGACGCCTAAATTCCCTACACAACAATTAAATCTCCGCCTGGTAAGTTCTAGCCTCATGATATTCTTTTAGAATACGTTCCTTACCTGTGTAAGGAGCTTGAACTCCTAAAAACATTGAAAACATCAAATGCGTGTAGTCATTCATCGAGCAAGGTTAAACTATTGCTTGAGAGTGGGACTAGTGACGAGTACTTTACCTTTCGCAGTGGGGTAGGGTCGGGATGATTACATTGTTAACGACATCAGACACCCGTATCCATTTTCCCGTTGTAAACATTTGCCTCAAACAGTGAGGCGCGGGGGCTGGAGTGGGGGAATGGGAGAGCAGCCTCAACCGCGGTAATTTTCTACTCGTTGAATGATTAAAATTCCTGCGTCTTGGTTGTGATTAGTTAACTTATCGCGTTGTCGCTAGGTTGAAGTAGGCTATCAAGAATTAAGAACTAACATTTTTTTGTCTCTCTATTTAAAAGGCTGGTGTAGATCCTTGATTTGCAGTAGAGATGTCATGACACAAAAACATCTTGCTGGAGAAGAAATGGCGCAATGGGAAAACTAAAATAAACGCAACAAAATTAAGTTGGATATGATGAATATATGAAGTTCATATATTTTGAACTACGGTTATAGATACGTATGATGCACGATCCTCGCAGTAGAGAGCGCTATTTATGCAATAGCGAAAATCAGACCTGAAAAAAATCAGGCCTGTACGGGATTCGAACCTCCGACTGGCGGCCGACAGGTAGCCTATATTTCAGGCAAAACCTGTCGGCCGACAGACGACCAACTGTCGGCCGACAGGTTTTTTGGGGAGCTCTTCTTCACAATTACCGTTTGAGGGATAAGTTCTTTCACCTCATATTCTGATATGAAGTTCATATATTTTGAACTGCGGTTATAGATACGTATGATGCACGATCCTCGCAGTGGAGAGCGCTATTTGGGCAATAGCGAAAATCAGACCTGAAAAAAATCAGGCCTATACGGGATACAGGTAGCGCTCTCTACTGCGAGGATCGTACATCATACGTAAAATTAAGTTGCTTTGTTTTGGATGCCCAAGAAGCAGATTTGCTCTCATTTTAGACAACGTGGGATCACAGAATGCATAGGGCACATTCAGTTTAGTCGTTAGAGTACAGGGCCCTTGCATTCATTTCGTAAAATATGCACTAGATTCATGTCATAGATAGGGGAAAAATTAAAGGAGAAAAATGACAATAACAAAGACTTGTGCAACTGCAGATTTATTATTTTCCAACCAACTCCAGACGTCTAATCGTCTAATATAGCATTTTACGATCCGTAGACACGTCTGAATCTTCGCTACTCAAATAGAATGCACACCACTTTCATTCTGGTATTTTCTGTATAGTTCTATCAACTCCCCAGAAGTTCTTGGCTTCACGGCCATAAAAGCTTTATCGAAATGCTTTCCGAGCACTTCTTGTGACTCAATGTTCTCTTGAAGGGCCGTCAGAGCCGCTTCACGGCACAATGCTGCTATTTCAGCCCCGGAGAACATGTCGGTCTTCTCGGCGAGATCTCTTATTGCTACGTCTCCTCCCAAGGGAGTTTTAGCGAGGTGGATTTTAAAGATCTCTTCTCTCGCGTTTTTGTCCGGAAGTGGCACATACACAATCCGATCAATTCTTCCGGGGCGGAGCAGTGCCTTGTCAATCATATCAGGACGGTTAGTCGCCGCTACTAGGACAACGTCTTTCAGAGTTTCAACGCCATCCAGCTCAGTCAGGAGTTGAGTGAGAACGCGGTCGGACACATTTGACCCGCTGTCATCTCCACCGCTTCCACGGCGCGCCGCGAGGGCGTCGATTTCGTCGAAGAAAACGATGGAAGGTGCGGCGGCACGGGCTTTTTGGAAAACCTGTTAATAAGAAGGTAGATTTTGAAACAAGATGCTTTTTTGAAAAACAAAATCTTTCTTCTCATTATTGAGTTCAAAATTTACCATCTTTCTTATTCTATGGCAGTAGGTTGTTGAATATCATGTTATAATATAGCGATTGACGTTAACACAAAATATCTTAGAATGAATTTTCGAATTAAATAGTTAGAAAATCAATTTTCGGGTTCAGTGGCAAGTGCAGACAACATCAACAACTATAAACGACAAAAATATCGGCAACAGAAGAGACAAGAAGGTAAAAAGTGCCAGTTGGAAGAAATAATATTCGGTTAAGATTTGAAGTCTTTGGTTATTTACACGAAGGAATATTTGAGTTTTTTTTTAACAAATGTTTCAAGGAAGACAATGAGTTGTTTTAAGCTCTCATCTACAACATGCCAAAGTAACTGCAGAGGAAAAATACTAGTAATTTGCGACAGAGAAAGCGAAGATACTTGCAAGATGACAAGCAGGTTTACTTGTAGAATTCAACGTGTAAACACCCGTGGGGAATCCCGCAGGACTGTTTACCACTTACCTGCCTCACTGCTCTCTCAGACTCTCCAACCCACTTACTGAACAGTTCAGGCCCTTTCACCGCTAAGAAGTTGAGCCCACTCTCTGTGGCCAGCGCTCTCGCCACTAGCGTCTTACTGCATCCCGGGGGACCGTACATCAGAATACCCCTGGGAGGGCGAATGCCCAATCGTTGAAACGCCTGTTGGGGAATTAATTAAAAATGATTTGTCTTCCGGGCTGAGATATAAGTTAAACTTGACTGGCGTTAAAGCTGATTTTCAATCCTCTAGTTTATAACATGTGTAGAGGCCAAGGTTTTGCTGGGTTTTATCTTAAGTGTTAGACAAATTTGTAGAGGCTAAGGTTTTGCTGGGTTTTATCTTAAGTGTTAGACAAATTTTAAGAAGAGGGTACGTTTCTACACAAACTGTGGTGCTGTGTCGGTGCGGGTATAACAAGATAATTTGGTTTTATCGCCTGAGTTGATAATGTAAATTAGCTCTTCGTCACAACGAAGGAAAATAACAATGATAATTGGGCTGTAGGGCGAGAAAACTACCAAAAAATATATCATGCTCAAGTCACATTGTTTATGATCAAACATAGTGAAAATCACGCTGAGGGTAACAAACGACTAATGATCACAATATTACGCACGATTTCCGACAGTTTAGTTCTTTTTCCAATGAATTCAAAGCCAGTGTTGCTCACCTCTGGATGTTTAAGCGGCCATTCCACAGCCTGTTTTAGTTTCTGTTTGATAACAGCATTTCCCCCGATGTCATCCCAACGTACCTAAACATATCATAGCATAAGAAAGAGGGTAAATTTTGAGTTCGGTGTCTCGCGTTTCAGCCGGATATCAATCTCGTGATGACCAAGCTTACCACAGAGGGCAGAAATACGAAGCTTTAAGGCTTGATTTCTTATGAAAACTAAAGATTTTTTCTTTGTCCCAGGCTCGTGACAAAACAAAACAAATCATATTTCAGTGATCCTCATATATTGACTACGACTCTATTACGTGCCCTGTGACTCTCTCTCTTAGTTCGCCTTGGTCCAAACCCCAAATAGGGCGTGGAAGTGAGCTTTCGGAGACTCGACTACCACGTACTCACCCTAAACAAGAAAATCGCCCGAAGCGCGGGAAAATGTGAGTGACCAAGACGCGGCTGGTCTTAGTTCTGCATCTGATTGGTTGAGAGAATGGTACGTATTTTCTAAACCAATCACAGAGCAGGGTGGAGCAAAGCCAACGCGAACCTACATTACTCCAGACACCAAATTGAGAACTTTTTCCCAAACGTGGAAAAGTAACACGGTTTCTTCTGCGCTGCAAGAATACTGACGCTACCGACTCTCTGAAGTACAGATTGTCCACAACCGCTCGGTACTCCCGATTTTGCAAAACGAGACCGAAAACCGTCGGTAATAAAAAAGCTTATTCCGCTAACTGGCATTTTGAGCCAACCAAAATACATCAGTTCTACAGTCAAACAAAATAATTATTGACCGCCATTCCCACCTTCGGTACATCAATGGACACCTCACGCATAGCACTGGGACGGACCTGTCGGAACGCCGCCATGATGTCCTCTCTGGTGACCCAAAGGCGCTCTTTTAACTTTTCCTCCTGAATCTGGTCGTCACCACTGGAAAGTCTCTTTTGTTCAGCTAAACAGCGTTTGAATGACATGAGCCCTGCTTCATTACACACAGCGGTAAGATCTGCTCCTACATAGCCATGAGCCATCTCTGCAAAACTACAAAAATAATGAAGGGGGTGACTTTCTAAAGAAACTGAGGTGCTGCGTCAGTGGGGGATATTAAAGCGGCCACCTTAAACAGTCTTCAAAGCTAACGTTTCGAGCGTCAGCCCTTCGTCACAACAGAACGAATGACGAAGGGCTCAGACGAAGGGCTATCGCTCGATTTCTCAGTCAGTCAAAAGCCAGATTCGCTCGCACAACCTTTTTCTTCGGCTTTAACGCTGCTATTTTCGGTTCGATTTTTCAGCTTGATATAATCAACTTCTTTGCGTCGTTCTCGCTTAAATACCTCTTCAAATCATCTTCTGTGAAGCTGTGAGGCACATTCCGGAGAAGAGTCCTTAGAATATCCTCACGGTCGCTGGCATTTGGTATTCCAATCTCAATCTCTCGATCCAGTCTACCCGGTCGGCGAAGGGCTGTGTCCAAGGCATCCGGACGGTTGGTGGCCGCTAAGAACATCACGTAACTTGATGGAAAATTCTGCGAATAATCATTGAAGCTTCAGTTTTATCTATTCTCTGACAAGCGGATTAAGAATGATAATTCTATGAGTTTGGCCACTACTGAACTCGTGTCAAATCAAACTTCTTCACTCGCTCTGGGGAGCGATAGTTTTTCTTTCAGTTTAGATAGATTTTAAGTTCTTATTTCCGAGACATGGATAGGCTCAAAGCCGAAAAACTCAGCATTGTCATCACCATCACAATAACAATCATAACCACTCGAATAACTATTTCAATCCTTACCACAGTATCCGCTCCATCCATCAAGGTGAGTAGAGTAGCCACTACTCTCTTCTCAAACTCATTCTGTACTTTATCTCTTTTGGGACACAAAGCATCCAGCTCATCTACGAATATGATACTAGGAGCCCTCTCACGAGCCTCGCGGAATATGTCCCTCAAACGAGCCTCTGTTTCTCCGTAATACCTGGCGGAAAAAAACGGTTTCTATTTTGAAAGTGAAGTTGAACCGTCATTTACGTAATGCGAGTAATGTTAGTCTCATGAATGTTGTTGGTGTTGCTGCTTGTGTTATTAATTTCAACGCTTTACAGACCTACTTAAAACATCCGGGCCATTGAGGCAGATAAAGTGAGCACCAGACTCCGCAGCCACTGCTTGTGCAATGAGGGTTTTTCCTGTTCCAGACGGGCCGTGAAGTAGCACACCACGCGGGGGTGGAATACCTGAACAAATGTTGTAAAAAGACAATTCATAGACCGTGAATGCTTATCAATTGCCGCGACTTCCACAAGGGGACCAATAGGAGAAAAGAACTGGGACTCATTATGGGCCAAGAAGGTCAACCAGAAGAAAGGAAAATTAACTTTAAGAACCAACGAGAATCAATCTGCCTAAAGCGCGGGAAAACGCGGGCGACCAAGTCGTAATTGGTTTTAGTTTTGCATCTGATTGGTCGAGAGAGCGGCGTGAGTTTCCTGGACCAATCACAGAACGAAGTAAAGCAAACCAAAGTATTACTTTCGATACTCAAATGATAATTGCTCTAATAGTGTATTGATTATCCTAATTCATAGAGAATCCCTCTTTCCCGAGCTTGTGACGAACTTTGTTGTTTGCCAACAACTTACCGTAATTTGTAAACATTTCTGGATGTTTTAGAGGAAGTTCGATCATTTCACGCACCAGCGCAACTTGCTTCTGAAGTCCCCCTATAGATTTATAAGTTACTATACTCTTTAACACGCTACGCTCACTTTGAAGCGCTCCGTAAGCGTGAATCGTCAGTTGTGTTTCTTCTGGTGAAATGTAAAAAAATACTGATTGACTATCAAGTTGGTTTAGCTGGATATCTGACTGCAAAGTTTTTTTACATCCGTGATCTATATTCGTTTTTGCGTGACACGATTGTAACTGAGATTTTTGACTTTGTTCTTTACATTCAGCATCACTTAATTCTTTCTCAGTGCAGTTTTGTTTTTGATAATTACATGACAAACTCCTCTGAATTATCAAATCTTCTCCATCACACGGCATAGCAGCCTTTTCATCGGTTCTTATTCCGTTATCAAGTTTGAGCCTTTCCAGTTGGTCTGTAAGCTTTGAAGCAAAACTGTTAGAAGATACTTTCTGGCGTTTATATTCAGCTGAAGAAATTGGGTTCTTATCAAGTGTACAGGATCCAGTTACTGCTATAACCATTAGATGCCGTGGTCTTCCATAGAATGTGACGTCTACTTTATGCCCAGGACAGACATATTGGTTACCTGCAAAAGTTTTGAACAAGTTTAAATAAACGTTCCCTTAACCTTCGAGCTGTCAAGATCTCATCAGCAATTCTCCTTACCGTCTGCCATACAATACGTTTGATGTTAGTTTGGAGAATTTGGTATTGGATGAACTAATAATCCCCTAATTTAAATTTTACTTTGTTCTCATCACTTGTCCTTAACGGAGGGATGGTGGCCTCATGGTTGGTGTGCTCGACTGGGGATCGAGTGGTCTGGGTTCAAGCCCTGGCTGAAGACATGGTGTTGTGTTCTTAGGCAAGACACTTTACTCTCACAGTGCCTCTCTTCACCCAGGTTTACAAATGGGTACCGGCAAATTAAATGCTGGGGGTACCCCTGCAATGGACCAGCATTCCATCCAGGGGGGGGGGGGAGTTAGAAATACTCCTAGTTGCTTCATGCTATGGAAACTGGATTTAAGCAAAGGCCAGATGGGCCACCTGGCTCATAAGCAGGCTTTACCTTAACTCATCACTTGTCCGCTTGATATTGTATCAATATTGTCAAGAAAAATTCTGCCTTGGTCACTCATGGTAGTGAAAGGGTCAGGATGACAAAACTTCTTTTGGTACTCAATAAGGGGGGTGGGGCTTAAGAGTTACAGTCTAGCATAACCCATCTGAGAAACATCCTGCAGTCCTGAGTGTGGTTTCTCTGCCCTCCCCCCCCCTCCCCCTTCAAGGTGTCTCCCAAACTGTTTTTTGCTATACACACACAACTTTCACACAAATGTAATCTAAACTACTAACTCTACATTCAAATGCAGAGGATTGTTTGAAGTGCTGATTCCATTCAGCATCGATATGGTTAAATTAGTCATATAAAAGAAATCAGATTGCAAGTTTGAGTGGTTGACAAATTCCTTAAAAAACTTATTGCTACTTACGCAAATCTTGAAGACAATAATCAGTGAACATCTGGTTGACTTCAAACTCCACTGCTTCACTAGAAAGGGACAAAATAACATTACATGAGCCATATTCAATTTAACAACTTGGTTGCATTGTACCCGGTAAATTCGAGATGATAACAAACTCAGGTTTTCTTCTTTTTTTGTTTAGTTGTTGTTGATGTTTTTTTTATGTGATAACAACCATTTTGCCTTGTCCATGCCAATGGAGGAAATGCTTTGGATAGAGTTGATGTAGCTGACATTGCCAGCTGACTGGGGTCACCAAATCTTCGGGAAGGGATGTTAGTGCATGGAGAGTCATCCCAACCCTTCTGATGAATTTTTTTCAGTTGCACACACTAACACTGAAGTGTAATTCAAGTTGATCCTTAGGGGGGTAATGTGAGATTGTCCTGCAGTGTTTCATACAAAAACCACAGAATGCATTAAAAAAGTTGCAATGACAAAAACTCTTCTGTTTCTAGGCTGAAAGGTTTTCTACCTTTACTTCCTTTCCCATTTTAACCTTCCCCTCCCTCCATTCTCCCTTACCCTACCCCCCTCCTGCCTGGTCCCTTACTTCTTATAACCACTTCAAAAATAAAGATGGATTGCAAATTCAGTCCAGAAGTAAAGTTACTGCTACAAAATAGAAAATAAAAATCAAGTTTTTACCACAACTCAAGTTCCACTCTTGCAGCATGTAGCCAAAGCTTTTTCAGTGCTCTGATACTGATGAATTCACCCCCTGAAACCTAAAAGAATACGGAAATTTGGTGAAGAAGGCCTAAGTTGCAGAATATATTTACTTACTTTTCTTCAAAATAGGAATACAAAATGAAACAACAAACCTGTAAATTCAGGAGAGACAACTGTGATAATGCCACACCTAAGTGAAGAACACAATTATTCAGTGATAAGAAATGTTGATGTGCTCTTGGTAAAAGCCACCATAACACTGATGCAAAAATGAAAGTTATCCACCTACACTCTGAAGAGACTCCTGATGAAGGCCATGTCATACAGACAATCTGGCAATATAATATTCAATGATTCAATTAGAAGTTTGTTCAGGATATGTTCCCTATAAACCCTTTAACTCCCTAGATCTGATTGCTAAATAAATTCTCTCCTCTAGCTGTTACAGGTTTCCATGTAAATTTGTTATGAGAATTTGGTGTCAGATAAAAATATCAACTTTCTCCTGTTCAGTTTCAGTATTCTTGTCACTGGCTTTCTGGAAAATGTGTGGATATCATAGGGAGAAATTACATGTTAATCACTTCTGGGAGTTATGAGCAGAAATTAAAGGACTGGAGCAACAATCACATGAAGAACACCTGGCATCTCAATCATGCCTGGCATCCATCATGCTTATAAACCAAAAATAAATCATCTAAGGAATTATGAACCTCTTTCCAGACATTTACCTCCGAGTTTTTCTGGTCTGACCTCACAACAACCCTTTTTCCAATGGGCAGGTTGCATTCCCTCATTGTGTTACAATTCAGCAAAATCACATTGTTCCGGGAGGACAGCGGCAGCTTACTATCTGATACGGTTCAATTCAAGAAATCAAGCTTAAATCTCTTAAAAGCAACCAGTGATGACTTTGGGAGATTTATCTCTATGTGAAAATCTTTTCATGTAGGTTTAATCCTTGAAAGTTGATCAGACCCTCTCATCTTTTAACTTCTTATTCCTGAGTAAGTTTACAATGGACTGATAGATATTAGAAGGAATTACAGAATATTTACAGTAAAAATATAAAAAACTTGCTACATATGTGGAGTGTGTGCTGGCAATATTTGCACCCAATTCAAAACCTTCAGTCTGGAAAGTTGCCCTGCCTGGGAGCCTTCAAATTCATCCATTCTATTCAAGATTTGCGACTCCGAAATCCATATCCTGATTGGCAGGGAATACCCGTTGGTGTACCCTCCCCCAATCCCCCTCCCTTCTTGAAGTAGGACAAACCGGGACAAACCGGTTCCAGCTCCTAAAAACTTTGTTTTCGGAACCCTCACAACTCTAAGATTATTTCAGAACAAATAATGAAGTTTAACTAACAAGCAAAAGCACATAGATCGTATCTATTTGACGAACCTGAAAACATTTTGTTGTTCCTCTCCACAACGAGAGCGTGCAGGACGCCATCTTGTATGAACGTGCACTTGGGATCTTCGCTGGATAAACCTGCTTCACATACCGCCCTGTGATCAGCTAATTGCCGAAAATACACTAGCCTTCCACATAACTCGCACAATTGAAAGCTATCGTGCTTTTTCTTGCTCATCGTGGCTTTCGCACGGTGACACAGGTAAAATTGACAATTTTCAAACCTAGGTTTACATAAATAAAATACGAATCAATCGGATAACCCGCTGACATATCGTGGTCCAAAATCAATATTGGCCCCAGTGCTTCGCGTTATTTTTTCAAAATTTGCAGCTTGGCCGTCAGAAATTAACGCTCTGAACAGGAAATAAATCAGTTTTTATTGTATCATAAAATAGAGTTATCAGTGATTTCTCCAATACGTATTTCACCACACACTTAACCACACAAGTGTTCAACAAGACCGTTTGGCTCTTAGCGCTTCATGCGTCAAGAAACAAATATTTCATTCCTGGTGAATGTGTACGCCCAGGTGATTTCTTTTCTTCGCGCAAAGATAGTTTGTAAAGTTACTGTAACGCAAGGAGATTTCATGGAGACATTTCTCTGCTTGGTACCGAAATGGCTGTTTTGAGGTGGAACGATTGTAAAACCTCTCCTGGGGCCAAAATGTAATGATTCCTACGATTTATTTCGGGTGGAAGTTTTCAAACAAATGCTTGCTCTTGTGTTTTTTTGTTGTTGTTGTTGTTGTTGTTGTTTGCTAAGGAAAGCATTACCTTATGGTTTAAATACAGCTGCCTTCATACGGCTTTTTACAGAAAAGGCTGCATCTTTTTCGAGGAAAACGTCTGCTAAAAACGTTATTTTTCCTCGGTGGTAAATTAATCGTTATTCTTCATACTGAGAAGTGCATAATTGAAGAGAGCAAAAAATTAAGCACCTCTATTTCAAGGGATTAGCGAAAGAGCATTATTTCACAAAGGCACAGATACACCGGTACTTGGTAAACACTGTTCAAATGGCAGTTTTCCCGGGTTTGCTTAATTCTATATTCAGGGATAACTCTTGTTTATTTTGCTTGCTTTTAAACTCAGTGTTAAAGTAAATGTAATCCTCTTTTTTCGCTATCAATTCTGCCTTTTGTTTGAGAAGTGCAAGTTACTTTTCTTAACCTTGAAATTTAAGCATATCTCAGTTTCACCTTACTTTCCCTCACTCTCTCTAGTTCCCGTTGATTCGAGTTGCGTTTATTTCAACTAACTTGACAATTGAACACTTGCTTCAAAGTGTTAAAATAAGAGAGTGTTAAAATTCGCTCCGACGAAGGGCTAACGCTCGAAACGTCAGCTTTTGTAGTCGTTACGGTGGCCAATTTACCATTTCAACTTTGTTGATATATCCAAATTATTTCGTTACTCCCACCGACGCAGTCCCAAACAGTTTCTTTCGAAACTATCAGCCTTTATTCATTTGTTAAAATAAGGCATACCGTTCTTCTTTTGACCAGAACTACCGAAGGGTTGATGATCATAGATCGAAACGTTACCTCTCTATGACTCTGAACCCTTTTTGAATACGTAAAGACGCCTTTAGAATTGTTTTCCGTCGTTCGAAAACTTTTAAAAATAGTTCTTGTTTCTATTCCATTCATGATAGGAGGAATTTCCAGTGGACCACATTTTTGATGTCTGAGTTTTTTGCCCGTGCTTTTGACGGACAACTAACGATGCTACTTCGCGATTCAAATACCTTAAAAATTTTTAGAAAACAAAAAAAATCATAGATATAATCAGTCTTATCGAAAAACATAGAAAAATCTGGGCGAAATTCAGATGTCCAATTTCAGATTCAAAAACTGGATTAGAAACAATGTTTGAATAAAGCAACGCTGAATTTCAAGGTATTCTTCTTTGTTTCGATAGTTATTAGAGTGTTTAGAGAAATTTTCTCGCAATCCAGCTTCATAAAACCGTGCCAGGAAAATTCAAAATAAAACAGCTACGCATATTTATTTTCGCGTTTTTAAAAAAGGAATAAGTCTCTTATCAGAGGGTTTAGAGAACCAAAAAGAAAAGAAAAAAGAAAAGAAAAAGAAGAGAAGCTGCCTGATACATTCTCATAAAAAGCTTTAAATTCAACATAAAACAAGGAATGAGTAAAAATATTCTTTTTGTTTCACGAAGCCTAAGTTTCTCGTTGGTTTTTCATGATGCTTGCCAATAAATTCGTTACCTCATGTTCTAAGGAGACAAAGCTAAGACCCGGAGAGGCGTTTCTGGCTAAATAATACACGAGGTAATCTTGGTAGTGTTGCCACCTTTTGCGGAAAGAAAACTGGTTGTTTATTGTGGCTCCACTTACAAATATTTTACAACACGGACTTATTTTGCTTTGTTGATCTCCTTATTCGTGGTAATGATAACACGCTTGGTAGCAATAAACAGAGTCAAAAAAAAAAAAAAAAATAGTTGCTTTGATGACTGCACGAAACAGAAAAACCAAAATTGTGAACATAAATTGAAACTATGGTGAACTCTACGATCCAGTGATTCCAAGAACTGAAGCCGTCATCTCCACACAAGTCTTTAATAAGATGTATGCTCTCTTGAGACTCCTAATGCCGCGCTAACGCCTCGAAATTTGTATATCGAATCCCTAATTACTTGTTCCTAAGTTCCGCATTTACACGAGTTAAAAAGAAAAGAGTTGCTCTACATCATGATTACTTACTCTCTCTTCTCAATAATTACTTACTCTTCTCTTCT